GGGGAGCAGATTGGGAGGGGGGCAGGGCAGCCCCCCGGGAGGTTTGGGAGGGGGCGGTGCTGTCCCCCACCTCTCTGGTGCCTTCGCCCCTCACACCTGAGCCTTGGCTGAGGGCTGGGGGGGTGATGGGCTGCGCTGGTGCTGAGCCCCCAGCTCTGGCAGTGGGTGCCAGGATCTGCCGTGCTGGTGGTGCGAGCTGTGCTCCGCTGCCACGCGCCTTTGACAGTGCCTCGGCCTGAGCCCAGGGGGCTGCGTTTCCGGGGTAGATGTAATTTCTGGCCATAACTTCTGTGAAATGCTTTGAAATAGAAAATGCACTGGAAACGTTAGTTATTACTTCTCAAAGGAGAGGAGAAAAAGTCTGAGAGGAAGAACTATGGAAGCGAGAGGAGGAAATTCAGATGCTATTTGACTCAGGCTTTTCAAAATCCCCTGGAAACTCATGCTCTCTAGAGATGGCCAAGGCCCAATTAGCAGACGAGTACTGCGGTGTCCTAGCCCTCACTGCTGCCTTACTCTCACCTTCAATTCGTCTTCCAGGGAGATCTGGGTCCTTTCAATCCTGGCTTGCCGGTGGAAGTGCCTGTCTGGTTGGCCATTAATCTGAAGCAGAGGCAGAAGTGTCGGCTGATTCCTCCAGAATGGATGGACGTTGGTAAGGATGGCGGCTTTGGTCCTGGGCTTCAGTGGGTGCAGCAGAAACACGAAATAAAAAAAATCTCTGCTTTTCGACATTAGCGGGAAGCTTAATTCAACAAACACAAGGTAACTCTGAGAGAAGGATCTAATGTTCCACCACTGTAATTCTTTATATTTACAGGAGATGTAATCTTCCCAGTTAAGTCAGGTATTTAACTTCTCTTCCTCTGGTGAGGAGGAAGAACAAGGGTTAGATTGAATCCCCAGCCCTGACACTCGTCTTCAGCAGCGGCCGCTGGTCTTTCTGAGCAGCACTTGCCTCTCTCGCAAGGCTTCTTCAGAAGGAGCTTTGGGGACCTCGGATGACAGTCTGTGAGGAGGGAGACCTTGGAGAGCATGTGTGTGTGTTAATTGCCGGTTCATTCACTCTGTGAAATCATTTTCCGCAAGGGCATCGGAAATGGGAGGTTGTCTCACTCTCTAAAAAGTGAGAATCGTGGCACCCTCCCTTTGTCATCTCGAGGGAAACTGAGAAAGAGAAGAAGTAAACGCTAATGGAGCTGCAGTAAGAGGGAGTTTTTTTTCATGCCTGCTTTATTTATTCAAGGGCACAAACACTAATGAGCGCAAGTGCTTTGTGGGTGAAGGGACCGTCTCCCGACAGGCGATCGGTTTGGGGATCAAGCTGGTGTAGATCCAGCCTCCCAGCATGGTGTGCTAAGCGTGGCTTCGATGTCCCTGTCAGCATCCTTCTGTGCTTCATTAGAGAAGCCTTTTTCTGCCCACACGTTGATTCAAGCTTGGACGTAGACTTGGTCCTACAGAAATAGCATGCAGGTTTTCCTGGGGGGTAAAAAATGTGCCTGGAGCATTGAAGGTCTGGCAATGCCTGACCATTCCTGGTTGTATTTTAGAAAAACTGGAGGAAATCCGGGACCAGGAACGTAAAGAGGACACCTTCACTCCGATGCCCAGTCCCTATTATATGGAACTCACAAAGCTGCTGTTAAACTAGTAAGTAGGAAATGTATTGTAACAGTTTCCGCCCGAGTACATGCTTGCATAGACAATTTTTCAAGCTTTCGTTGGCAGCAACCCCAGAGGGCGGTGGGAAAGTGAGAGTTAATGGAGGTTTATTTCACAGCGTGCCAAGATCTCGTTGCAGCCGTTTTCTCATGGTAACTTTGCATTTCAGTAACTTGGGGATTGCTTGTTCTGCAGCCTGATAATTGGGGCTGTGCCGCTTTACTGAGCGGCAGCTAAGCGTAGAGGCCTTGAGGATCAGCAACACGTTCTATGGCTGCAATCTGTTCAGCAGCCTAAACCCTCCAGGCTTCTTCCTTGGCTCTCCTTCAGGAGGAAAGCTCCTCTTTCCTCGGCCTGAAAAGCAGGAGACCGGGGATATTCCGAGTCTGAACTCCTGCCTGCTGAGGCATTTCACTTGTAAAATGTGCTGGCTGGTATTTTTCTCAGCGCGGACTCTTCTGACTTTAAGCCCTCGATTATGGCAGGGTGGTCATTTAAGCACTGGCTTTTCCCCTGGAGATGACGCTCTTGGCGTGCGGCTCCTTCCCTCACGCTAGAATAACCCTGACAGCTCTGTCCGTGTGAATTGATCTGATCTCTCGAGGTCCTTATGGCAGCGCTGAATTGCCTTAATGGGAGGATGTGGCACAACTCGTACAGTCCTTTCAACTTAATACTCTCTGATAGAGCCACGAGAGCACAGAGCCGGGGCTCTAATCGCAGCCGAGTCCTTTCAGTTCCCTGGCTGCCTGTGACTTTGGCCGGGTTATTGGCCCTCCGTGTACCTCGTACCAGCTGGGCAATTAAAGAGCAGAAGGATTCTAGTGAGAACCAGATGCTGCATGAGAGCTGAGCATTCCTGGGTAAATAAACTATCCCAAAAATCCCAGCAGCAGAAGTACCAGGCTGGATTTTAATGTTGAGTTGCAGTTTTTTTCTCTATAGCAAACTGCTCTGCTTATGCCTCAGAGGGCTGAAGAACTGCCAACATTACTTACGCCAGTGACATAACGTACGAGTCCCTCGCAGCCTGTTCTGATCCGCTCTCTCCTTCTCTAGTGCCTCAGACAACATTCCGAAAGCCGATGAGATTCGGACGCTGGTGAAGGATACCTGGGACACCCGGATAGCCAAGCTGCGGCTGTCTGCGGACAGCTTCGTCAGGCAGCAGGAGGCTCACGCCAAGGTGCGGCGGGGACGTGCGGAGAGAGGCTCGCCAGCTCCGTGCTGGGAGGATTCCAGATGCCGTGTGATTGTGTGGGCTTGTGACTGATGAGAGCTGCTCGTGAAAATGCTGGTTGGGGCATGTTTTTCCTGGGCTCTGGGTACGTCAGTGGGGAACTAAAGCCATATGCTGAAACCTCGCTTTATGGGCTGGTTGCAGCTCCCCGTGCGTTACGGAAATAGTGCTCTCGTTGCCCGTCTGCTTCTCTTGACCGGGGGCGGCAGCTGGGCCGGTCCCTTGGGGTGTCACCGAAGGAAAAGCGTGTGCTGCAGAGCGGCTTTCGAGTTCCTTGTCCTCTGCTGCGGCAGGGCTCTTTCCCCACATTCTGCTGTTTTCTCTTTTAGCTGGATCACTTAACCTTGATGGAGATCAACACGACCGGGACTTTCCTTACTCAAGCCTTAGATCACATGTACAAGCTCCGGACTAACCTCCAGCCTGGCGAGAGTGCCCAATCCCAGGATTTCTGAGGCACTCGCCAGGCCAGCCCTCAAAACTCCCAGGAGAGGGCAGTGGAAGGGAGCAGGCTCTGCTCCTCGCCCCTGGACCTTCATCTGGCCAGCTCTCCCTGCGCTGAAGCCACCCAAGCCTCGTCTCCCTCCTCGGCAGTAGCCGCACGCCGGCTGGAGTTCCCCTTCCACGTGTGCGCAGGGGAGGGAGCAGGCAGCCTCGCGGCCAGCCGGGAATCGCTCCAGAGCTGCCGATGGCACGGGATCATCCCTGCACAGTAGCTCCTACGCGCTCCCTCTTCGCAGAGGTCGGCCTCTCTCTTGGGTTCAGAGATCTGCTTGGTGCAGGTGGTGGCTTGCCAGCCCTGGGCTGCTGTCTAATGATGTCGGGCGGATCTCTCCGCCCTGGAGAGTGTGGGTGTACTTCATAGAGGGAACTTCTGAGGGCAGCACAGGCCACACACTGGCTTGAAAGCAATAAATATCTAGGCGGTGCTTCACCATGAATTTTCTCAGAGCCTTGAAAAGGGGGAAGATGTGCCGGCAATGAGAGGTGTCTGCTACTCTGCTGGGGAGATCAGCTGGGAAGCAGATCCATCTGCTCTTTGGAGAAGGACAAAAGAAAAGGCTTTCCCTCTCCAAAGCCAGGCTGTCTTGTAATATCATACGTCTGCCTT